GTATAAGCTTATACTTGATTCAAATTGTGTTAAAATTTTCTTACAATTAAGGACTGCAATTTTTGTTAATTAATACCCATGATGGGCTACAGTGTAAGGTTTTCAGTGCTTACCATACTGTATGATACAGTATGTATCCAAGGAAACAAAACAACATGCAAAAAGATGCGTGTTTCTTTTTAAGTCGTCATCTGCATGAAAAATTAAGAACCTACTTTAAAATCTTAGCCTAAAACAGGTTCTTATGTAAAGGGGTCTAAATGGGAAATTTTAGCCTAACATGTTCTTAAAATCTATGTTCTTATACGCGGGTTATTACTGTACTTTGATTTATGCTCGCAGTAATTTAATATCAAATCTGTCGTGTCATTTACGACGCCCGACTAAATTCTGTTTTGCACGCGTTACAACTTTGCTAACACTGTATGGAGCCATCGTTATGGCCTGTGCTTTGCTAACACTGTATAGAGCCATCGTTATGGCCTGTGCACAGGCCATAACGATGGCTCTATACAGTGTTAGCAAAGCACAGGCCATAACGATGGCTCCATACAGTGTTAGCAAAGACCATATGCAACTATATATACCTACATATTATATGCATACCAATGTATATATATATCTATATATATATATAAATATCTATATATATGATATACAATTATATACGGTCCTTTGATGTTATGTCAATGTTGATCAATGATATACTTGCACCGGTGATTGCACAGTCAGGATGAGCACTTGTGGTAAGAGCAATACAAGCACAGTGCATTTGTTTCAGTTCACGATTTACCGCTATGATACATCCTCATATGTAACGTTATAATGCATATGGAAGTTATTATTACTATTATCAACAATATTATTATTTTAGGCATTATTATTACGGTTATTGTTATTTTTACGACCAGTATTGTAGCTCGGTCTGTATTGGCGTGTACACTCTCTGAATGAACAGGCGTAGAACGCGTTCAGAGATGTGCACATCACGTAGCGGTCACAGTCTGTGGAGGGCACATCAACACTTAGGAGGGGGAGGCGTCACACAACTCCTAGGGCACATGTTTCACACGCCGCTCCTAGTATAATAAAGAGCTAATAATACCTATAATCACATCTTTTAAAAAACAGGTAAGCGGAATAGATAAGTGAACATAATTTACTCCGACAATCTTCAATCGGCTAGAGAACCGACAGCAAGAGCAGTTAGTTGTTGAAATTGATGAATTGAAAGCATTGCTAACAGGTAATTAGATATACACCGATTTATCATAAAATAAAGTTACGCAATTAACTTTAATTAATTAATTAATTCGAAGAAGAATTCGAAGTTACTATCGTGTAGAAAGGTGGCACACGCCAGTCTTCTGGCAAAGCCAACCGCTGATTATGCACAACGTAGTGAACGTACATTAAGCTAAGCAAGTCGGTCTGTCTCTACAAATAATTCTTCTGATAACTGACCACCCGAAGGAGCACGATTACAGCCGAGAGATGGCGCTCGCGAATCGGCACCACAGATCTCTACCAGAGTACGTATATCACAATTATGATATACGTGCTCTCTCTCTACATACTAACGTATGAGATTACGTTAGTATATAGAGATCAGTGATCGGAACCCAATTAATTAACTGTTCACAAAATTCAGACGTGATTGAGATAACGATAGTCAGGAGTCAGGCGACTGTACGCAGGGCCTGGATTAACACAATAGCACATGTAACAGATACTACAGACCCCGTGCTACGGCTCAAGAGAGGCCCGGAAGCCCCACCCACCCCAAGCAGAACTTGAATAAGAATATTACTTTGAAGACTCATCGAAGTCTTTTACCGTAGTAGATGGGGGCCTCTTTTGTTCGGGATGCCGAGAGAGGGGTTGGTTAATCCGCCACTGACTGTACCGTGCTTTGGCACCCAACTGTATCCAACGATTTCAATGACTTAAAACAGTTTATACATCTTACAGTGACGGCGCAACAATACTGTACAATCGGCCCGGTCGTCGTGTATATATATATATATATATATACATATAGATATATATATATATATATATATATATACATATAGATGATATAGATATATATAGATAGATAGACATCCTTAAAACGCACGTTGACTTTTTAAAAGCCATGCGTAAGACGGCGCGCGGGAAGAAAAAGCACGGGGCCGACACTTGCCGCGTGATTATTTATAAATACTATATATATTCTACTAATAATAACACTGTACATGTCTCTCCTACAAGTACACTTGTTTGGCGCTTGGCGTAGATTGGCCCTAACCGCGTACGTAGTAGCCCTTGGCTTCCCCCATCTGTGCACGCTGCCACGGGCGGAGCGGAAGGGCTACACGCGGGTTAAATGTCGAATTAGACTGTCCCTCCCAGCTGAATCATGGACCCGAATCATGGTGACTGCTGCTGCCAACTACCTACCGCTCCGTAAGAGCCGCTTGCTCAGGAACCCGTCTAAGTTTGCGCAAGCCGTTAGGCGGAAAGCAACCCAACAATGTCGATGGTACAAGCAGCACAAAGATATATATATATATATATATATATATATATATATATATATATATATAGGGGCAAAATACCACGGCATCGCTCGCCGACAACGTCACACGTGGATGGAGACGAATTCAAAATCATATAGCACGAGAAAAAATCAGTCCGACGAAGAAACAAGCCTGCAGCGTTGGCAGTCTTACAGGTAGCTCCTATAACCGTGCTGCCCTTTCCTCTGCCGCAGGGCTATACAGCAAAATACGAAAGAGCCCGGTGTGGAATCTTTGCCACGCTGTGTAGCCAGTGCTAGCCAGTGCTACAGTACCAGCAACAACCAAATTGGCGTTAGCCCGCCTCACTCTAAACCCCCAAAATCGATTTCGCCGCTATTTGACCAAATCGGACCGCTCATCGAACGCGAGCGAACGCACGAGTAACATTCGCAGCGATATCGAATAGAGAATCAATGAGATCGATTCGTATATTGAAATAGAGTCGGCACTAGTGAAGCAAGCCGTCTAAGTTTTCCTACCGAGTTTTTTTCCACACCTTGCTGTACGTACAGCCCCCGAGACAGATCGAAGGGCTACACGGGTAGGAGGTACACTCACATGTTACAGCGAAGCGACGCGTTAACGAACATCACCGTGCGATGGCATCGCCAGTAAACAGACGCGCTACGATACGCTCTATAGAGAAGACGGTGTGCGGCAAGTCTACGCTCGATGACAGCATGACGACTCTCTGCATCGAGTGACAACGGAAGATTGTCACGATGCCAACGTCTCGTCACGCGACGCAAACGCGTGTCCAGTACTTGTCTCTCAGACTGAGTTCACAACCACGTGTAAACGATTGAATTTGCCTCTAACGGATATATAGCATCGACAACACGGGGAAATTTAATTTCGGGTGCGTCTGAGAGAACATATATGACAGCAGAGTCTATTAAAAACAACTGATATAACTGTACAGCAAAACGGTCCACGAGCTATAACCATCCGCTATATAAATGTTCCCTGCTTATTTCACACATCCTTCACAACTTACACACACACACACACACATATATATATATATATATATATATATATATATATATATATATATATATATGTGTAGTATATAATAATAACTAGTAATTACTATAGTACTAACTAACGAAAGAAACGTAAGGTACGGTACGTAACGGTAAAAGTACGCTCTACGT